ATAAATAACACTGAGATAAACTGCTCTGTATTAATGTTCTCTGCTTGTATCTTGAATTATTTACTTCGATTACATGCCCAGAAGTGGAATTATTAAGTCAAAATTTTTATTATATTTTTGCATTTGTAAATTTATTGTATTTTTTAGAAAACAATCTGGCAGTGTGCATTAAAAGCCTTAGAAAAAGTTTTTAGAAAAAAACTTTTTCTAAAAAGTTTGGAATGGTGAAGACTTATGCTCTACTGGCAGTTTGTATGTGAGACCACTGGCTTTACTGAGCAAACAAACTACTGTTAATAATCTAAACTCGGTAGGGTGCAGTGGCTCATGCTTGTAATCCCAGCACTTTGAGAGGCTGAGGCGGGCAGATCACAAGGTCAGGAGATCGAGACCATCCTGGCCAACATGGTGAAACCCCGTCTCTACTAAAATACAAAACATTAACCAGGCATAGTGGTGTGTGCCTAGAGTCCCAGCTCCTCGGGAGGCTAAGGCAGGGGAATCACTTGAACCCAGGAAGCAGAAAGCAGAGAATACAGTGAGCCAAGATCAAGCCACTGCACTCCAGCCAGGCAACAGAGTGAGACTCCATCTAAAAAAAAAACAAAAACAAAAAAACAAAAATTATACACTCATGGCCCAGTGCAGTGGCTCATGCCTGTAATCCCAGTACTTTGGGAGGCCAAGACAGGAAAATTGCTTGAGGCCAAGCGTTCAGGACCAGCCTGGACAACACAGCAAGACCCTCATATTTACAAAAAATAATTTGCTGGGCATGGTGGCACACGTGCAGTTCCAGCTACCTGGGAGGCTAAGGTGGGTGGATCACCTGAGCCCAGGAGTTTGGGGCTGCACTGAGCTATGACTGTACCATTGCATTCCAGCCTTGGTGACAGAGTGAGACCCTATCTCTTAAAGAAAAAAAGAAAAAAATTAGCCAGTGATGTGGAAGACTAAAAAAATCATAAAAGCAAAAACCCACTTGAATATTAGTTAACACTGCATTTCTTATACGCCGCCCTTATTTTTTGAACAACTTCAATGTTCGTCTACCTGATATTTATTTAAAGGCCACTAAAGACAGCTGTGGCTCTGCTGGATGAAACAGGTCTGTCCCAGAATAATATTTTTCCAAGTCTTTGCCAGTCTCTGTCTTCAGTTTTCTCTTCTCTCATTCTGAGAGCTGCAATAATAAGATCTTTCCAATAAATGCCTCTCCTGGAGAGCCCCTGCTCATCTGATATTTTGTTTCATTTGCGACGTATGTATCTTACACAGAGGGGTAGCCTTCAGGGAAAGGTATGGGGTGGCTAGAGACAGATGCCACCATCTCTTTCTCTTCTTTCTTCATTTTTACTGGAAGTGCTTAGCCAGCCAGCCAAGAAGGGTAGCTATTTGTCATACCAATGGCCTCATCTGTCTGTCTGACGAGAAATGAAGCGGAGCTGAGTTGGACATCTATGACAGTACCCATTCTAATTTATGCATCTCAAAATGATCCACTGGAATCAGCCGTCAAAAGCAAAGCCTTCTAAACTTTATTCACACTCAAGCTGCATCTCTGTACCACCACTGCCAATGTTATGTCATGTCGTGGGCAGTCAACCAGGTGCAGGGGAGGAGAGACCAGGTTGATTTCTGCCTTGCTGGGAACACCTTCATGGTGCCTGTAGATAGTCACTGCAGAAACATAAAAGATGGAAACCCAGGCTGTGTTCTCAACAGGGTAGAAGCTTCCCCATTAAGCCCAAGTCTAGGCAGCTCCTTCTCTCCACAGGGATGGACCTGGCCTTGCTGGGAGGAATGCCCACACCAGGACCTCTAGAAGCAGTCCCAAGGGCTTCAGCTCACATTATGTTCTTTCCATTTAGTGATAAATTCCTAACGCCTTATCCCATATGTCTAACTGGAATGCAGAGAGCAAATGCCACGGTTGAAATGCTCTCCTTCATGATATCAGCTCCTTCCCCAGGGCGTTTTAAGACTGATTTAGGAGTTTCAGTTCCCTTGGAAAAAAAACAAAGGCTGCTCTACACATGAAGAGACTTAATTCTAACACACTGCACAGCAAGACTACAGGCTTACAGGAAGAGCCTTCTGGGCAATCAAGCAAAGTCTTCCTTTCTATGCCCAGAGCATGAAGGCAGCTGAATAATCAAATAACGACATTGAAAGCAGCTTTCTTAATGCTGACAAAACAAAATCTTAGGAAACACCAGGGAGTGGTTATAAAACACAAGTGATTTCAAAACAAGAGTGATAAGAAAGGTTGGCTAAGGGCCAAAGCCACCACTAAGCCTCTGAACCTAGGGAATTCCAGCGGGATCTTGGAGGGCAGGAAGTCAGAGGTGGACTTCCCTAGGATCTGGGAAGGCTCACCAGCCAGGCAGACGCCCTGGGTCTGTACCTGAGGCAGAGTGCCTCCTCTTTTTTCCTCTCCCACAAGCACCCAAATACACAAGGTGAATGAACTTTTCTTAGTGATTCTTGTTTTTAAAGTTCTTCAAGGGGAAAAAAATTCACAAAACACATATCATAAGCATTTCCTTTCAAACATTTTCTGCCAGGTCTTTACTCCAGCTTGTGGGGTCTCCCTTGGTGGCAGAGTTCTGGATTTGTCTGCCACTCACTAGATAAGGGCCAGACCTGAAGGGGTCACTCAATGCTGCCTTGGCTTCAACTGAAGAACTCTAGACATACCAAAACAGATCAGAAAATAGACTTTAATTTTACATGTACAAATGTTGCTGTAAATTCAAAACAGTGAAGAAAAATATTTACAAACCAGTTTAAAAGGAAAGTAAGCAACAAACAATCCACAGCTGAGCAGTTGATGTGCAAATCATCCCAGGAATCCGACTTTCTGTCTCTTGGGCCCCAGGCTTTCTTCCTTGTGCAGAATGTTCTGCAAGGAGGCATGCAGCACCTTGCCCACACGCTTGCTGGTCTGTGGGACAGAGAAGGGACGGGAGAGAACACACGCCCCCTTGTAAGGCACACACACTGTGACCAGAAAAGCTTCCCTTCTGCCAGCTAGTCTTTCTGATGCTGTACACATTTCATCTGCCTTAGAGGACTTTTATTTAATTAAAGCAAATTAAAACAAAAACCACAAACCCCAATAACATAATAAATTTTGGAAAAATCGCCATATCAAAAAAAAAAAAAAAAAAAAAAAGAGAGAGAGACGGACACCAGCCCCCACCAGGCAGCAAACAGGAAGCGGCAAACCTGCCCTGGCCACTAGCTTATGCTTCGCAATCCTGCTACCATTACAATACGCCACAAAGTTGTCAACCAAATTCAGGATTGGGTACAGCCAAGTGACACTGTACCATAGTAAGAAAGAATAGGGAGACCATAGGGAATCCAGAGCCTGTCTAAAGAAGAAATAGATGATGCCAAGGACATTTTAATAAGCAGCTTCTCATTCACCTCCCACCAAGCCTCTAAGCGGAACTGCTCAGGTGCGACCAAAGTCAGTACCTGGATGGGATGTTTGGTGTTACTGCCATGCAGAGATGCTAAAGGCAGTGAAATTTTGGAATCAAAACACATCAAGAGGGACAACCCACAAAATTAATAATCAGTCCCTACACAGCAGACACAAGAGGTCCTAAAAAACAAAATAAAACAAAACAGACACCTCAAAATGGCTGGGAGTGTTGGCTCATGCTTGTAATCCCAGCACTTTTGGAGGTCAAGGCAAGAGGATTTTGCTTGAGGTCAGGAGATCAAGACCAGCCTGGGCAACAGAGTGAGACCCCATCTCTACAACAAATTAAAAAATTAGCTGGGCATGGTGGTATGCACCTATAGTCCCAGCTACTGAGGGGGCTGAGTTGGGAGGACTGCTTGAGCCCAGGAGGTCAGGGCTGCAGTGAGCTGTGACTGTGCCACTGTACTCCAGCCTGGATGACAGAGCAAGACCCTATCTCAAAAAAGAACAACCACCGCAATATTAAAAAAAAAAAATTCTTTATGAAACTGTTATTCCATCTCTGGGCCCATGAATCATTTTAAGAATACAATGAACCAACCACAAATCTCTACCTTATCAAGTCTTTCACATTCCCACAGCAGTCTGGATTCAACTCTGGTTCCATTCTCAACAGTGTTGAGAAAAAGACACCCATGCCTAAATCCTTGCCTCAATCTTTTCCATTACAGGTGTACTCTCCCCAGAGTAATGACCTGTGTGTCTTCTCCCCTGGCCCCTCACTGTAACATGGGATGAGATCCCAAGTATGATTAAAACTCTTTTTTTTTTTTTTTTTTTTGTTTTTTTTTTATTTTGAGACAGTCTCACTCTGTCGCCCAGGCTGGAGTGCAGTGGTATGATCTCGGCTCACTGCAACCTCTGCCTCCCAGGTTCAAGGGATTCTCCTGCCTCAGCCTCCTGAGTAGCTGGGACTACAGGCACCCGCCACCACACCTGGCTAATTGTTTGTATTTTTAGTAGAGACAGGGTTTCACCTTGTTAGCCAGGATGATCTCGATCTCCTGACCTCGTGATTCTCCCGCCTTGGCCTCCCAAAGTGCTAGGATTACAGGAGTGAGCCACCATGCCCCATACCCAGCCCCAACTAAAACTCTTATGAAAAGATGATTTCAATTTAAAAGGCTGGGAAGTGATCACCTCTATGAAATGCAAAGTTAGAGTAAAAGGTCAAAAAGGCCTTAGGGGGCCAGGCGCGGTGGCTCACGCCTGTAATCATAGCACTTTGGGAGGCTGAGGCAAGCGAATCACGAGGTCAGGAGTTAGAGACCAGCCTGGCCAACACAGTGAAACCCCGTCTCTACTAAAAATACAAAAAAATTAGCCAGGCGTGGTGGCAGGTGCCTGTAATCCCAGCTACTGAGGAGGCCAAGGCAGGAGAATCGCTTGAACCCAGGAGGCAGAGGCAGGAAAATAGCTTGAACCCAGGAGGTAGAGATTGCAGTGAGTCAAGATTGTGCCACTGCACTCCAGCCTGGGCACTAGTGCAAGACTGAAAAAAAAAAAAAAAAAAAAAGGTGGTGGGGGCTTTGGAAAGATTTTTTCCATAACATTAGAAAAAGAAAAAAAGTCTGAGTCTGTCAAACAGTGGTACTGATTATTCATATACATGAGGGTGGGGAGAGAGGACAACAGGAGATGAAATGAACAGGATGCTAGGACTTGAGAGGCCTTGACACTTCTGAATCCAGATGCAGGAAGGCAACTGCAGAGGCTGAGGGTAGCAGCCTGCACAACCACCCCAAGGCTCTCAGCTCCACCACTGAGCCATTTCCAGATTGCTGCATCCCTGTGTGAGATAAACAGTAAGACAGGGCCACAGGGCTATTGTCCCCTGACCAGAGTTAGCAGAACTCATCCCCCAAACCGGAGGGGAACACAAAGCTCGGGTCACTGAACAGAGCTCTGGTTCTGCCATCCATGACAGCCAGGGCAGATCTGGTTTATAAGGCTGACACTGCACACTGCACAGTGCACAGTGGCTGGGAGCAGGGGCTCTGGAGGCACACAGTCTGAGTTTGAATCCTAGCTCCAGTATTTATGAGCAGAGAAACCTGTAGGCAAGCTGTTTAGCCTCTGTGTGCCCAGTTTCCTCATCTATAAAAATGAGGACAATAATAATAGTTACCTCACAGGTTGTTGAGGATTAAATGATATATTTAAAGCAGTGTCTGGTATACAGTAAGCACACAAGAAACTTTAGCTATTATTTGCTTATTGTGCTTGTTGTTGCTTAGAGAAATTCTCATAAACTCTCCTGGGAGGGAGAAGAGTACCTTCTGAAACAAAGTTTGACAGTCCCTTGTCCAGAGGCCTTTGGTAGTATTTATGCAGCATTAATTCTAGGGAAATGTGAACTCAGGATGCTTAATGGAGCACAAAGAGTAACAGCTACCATTTGCTGAGAATTGATGATGTATCAGACACTCTGACATGTGCCTCCCCTCTACACCTCACATCATCCTAATAACAACCTCAGCAGTGTCTGGAAAAGATATATTATCAGTCCCACTTTGCAGATGAGGGGGGCTACGGCCCAGAGCCGGGATTTGCAGCCAGGGCAGCACACCTTCAGAGACCATGGTTGGTAACTCCATGCTATATACAGTGCTCATTCTGCCCTTTTAAATAAGATGATAAAGAAAGAAAGTAGAAGTCATGTTCTTGAATTCTTCAGTAAGAGGTCATCGTTTCTAAAAATGAAGGAAGAGTGCTTGCTACTAAGCAATGATCTCTGGGCATGTGTGGTGATATAGAGGTTACAAGAAAGTATGAATAATCAAATCCAGCTAACTCCATTCCTGGAAGTTCTGTCAGTCAGTCAGTCAGAAAAGCGAGGTGGAGGAGGGGAAGGAAGGTCTGGAAAACAGGTGAGCAGGACCCTGTCCCTGCCCTGAGGGGCTTCCAGGCTAGTGAGGTGACAGACATGTGGCAAAAACAGTACAGAGAACTGTACAAATGCCCTGATGGCTCTGACAGGAACGGGGACAACCCAATCCCAACTCCAGGGGGTCGGATTTCTCACCATCCCTGCTTGTCTCCATTTAAACACTTCTAGAGCTGTAATGAATTTGGGAGACAGCCACACTTCAACCCCTGCTTCCACCTTTACTCACCAACTTCAAGGGATAGGAAGCAGTGAGCCAAGAATTCAATTCCTTCATCAAGTCACAAAAGCCTGTGATTTTGGAGTTACAAGTGGCTCTTTACATTATGGAAGTCCAACAATCTTATTTAGACACACAGAAATGAGTTGCGGGGGGACTTACTGAGGATAAGCAATGGTTACCCGTAGGCTCCTTACCTCCCAGTCCAGAGTCTCCACCCCCCAACCCTCCTGGTTAGGTCAGCAGACCCCTGGCTCAAACCAGCTGTTCTCCAAGCTCCAGGTTTGAGGTCAAGGATGTGAATGGGAAGAATCCCCATGGTGAACCCAGCAGGCAGGAAGCAGCAGGCGTCCCGGCCAGGTCCCCACACCATCCTCAGAACCAGGGCCTCACCTCCATCATCTCGAAGATGCTCTCTGGGTCCAGGCTGCCCTTCCCCACTTTCCTCAAGCACGTCACAGCTCCCTTGCTGGTCACTGACACTAGCAAGCTGGCCAAGGAGCAGGCCTCCTCCTGAAGAGTAGCATCCACCACATGCCGATAGCCGATCTGCAAAGGCAGGGTGCAGAGCACACAGGGGTCACACAGGCTCCAGAGCCCCACCCTTGATGGCCTCATGGTGGGAATCTCTACACCAGGTAAAGGATTCACATAGGTCATTCCAGGTCTTATTTTAGATTCTGCTCATGAGGAAAACAGTTGAAGGAATGTTCAACAATTCTCATAGGCCACTGTGTGGGTGATACAATAAAAACATGACATGGAAAAATAGGGCAAGGGGGTTTAAAACTTGAATTCAGAGACCATCCAAGACAGAGGCCACAGAGGCTTTCCAACAGAGGGGCACAAGGGACAAATTCACACACAAGGCCACATCAATGTTTCACTGATGGCAAGGGGGAATCAAGAGGGCCCATGCTAAGGGGCACGCTCAAGAACAAGCCAAAGGCTGGGCGCAGTGGCTCATGCCTCCCAGCACTTTGGGAGGCTGAGGAAGATGGATTACTTGAGCTCAGGAGTTTGAGACCAGCCCAGGCAACATGGCAAGACCCCGTATCTACCAAAAATACAAAAAAATAGCCAGGTGTGGTGGTGTGAGCCTGCGGTACAAGCTACTTGGGAGGCTGAGGTGGGAGGGTTGCTTGAGCTTGAGCCTGGGCAAGTGGTGGGGGTGGGTTGCAGCAGAGGTTTCAGTAAGCCTTGGTTCTGCCACTGCACTCCAGCCTGGGTGTCACAGGGAGACTATGTCTCAAAAAAAAAAAAAAAAAAAAAAAAAGCCAAGACCCAATACCCTGCTGTCTGAACACTTCACCACATCCTGTTCATGAAGTTATTTCAGTGGAATTAAATCTGACCTGTTTAGCTTTATTTTGAGATAATGAATCCTGAGTTGAATTAGCTAAAATCCCAGTTAATAGCCAATACAGGTCTCTTTGCACAGCCTGGGGCAGCATTAGTTATACGTCACCTCAGTCAGATGCTGAGCTCCACAGCCCTCTACTCTATGTGAAAACCACTCCTGACACCCAAGACCTGCTCCAACCTCCTATTTCATAGAGGGGACATTGTTTGCCATCCTGCCACTACTCAACCACCCCAGGCCCAATAGAGTTGAGGCAATTAAAGGACACAGTGCTTTACTGAAGCACATGGTATGTGGAAGGAGCTTAACAAACTCTGGCTACTATTACTACAAACATATTCCTGGCTCCCAGGCCACATCATATCTTCCAACTAAAAAGAAAAGAAAAAGCTACTCATGGTAGTGGTTTCTAATATAAGCAAATTATTGGATCTGGGTTAAAGCTATTTCTATATGGTGTGTGATATTATAATTTATCAACTTATTAAGTAATCTCAGCAGATTGGGATTAGAGGAGACCCACATCCACAGGGAAGACAAAAACCACAAAATACAAGCTTATACCTTGCACAGAGTGACAATGCAGGGGACATTCTCAACACTTAGTCGTATGCAGTCATAAGGGTCATCAGACAATTCAATGTCCTTTGACCCCTCTTCATCCTCCAGAACTCGAACCCTTGGTATCCTGGAAACACAATTAAAATTTCCATTTGCTGTGAGGAGGAAAAATCACTTCTTTTTAAGATTGAGAATAGGAGTTAGAATCCCTGTGTCTCACAAGAGAAAGGTACACTATGCCTATCCTTTATTATCTTCATCCCTGTCAAAAGCACACAGGAGGCATCACAGTCCAATGAGGAGAGGCATCTTTTAGAAAATAATGCTAGGTCAATCAGATATCCAAATGAAGAAAAAATGAACCTCAATCCCTACCTCACACCACACACACACACACAAAGCCATACCAAATACACCATAGATATAAAAGTGAAAGATAAGACAATAAAGCTTTTAGGAAAAAACATCTGCATGACCTTGGAGTAGACAACTATTTCTTGAACAGGATACAGAAAGTATTATCATAAAAGGGAAAAAAGTTATAGATTCAATTATATTAACATTATGAACTTCTGTGTATCAGAAGACATCATTTAAAAACACAGAAAATGGGTGGGTCAGCCCTTGAAAAGTCCTGATATCTAAGTGTGAGTACTATATTAAACTGGAGTGCAGTAAACCTAGGAATCCTTCCACAATTGTTTATTTGAAACACAGTCTTGCTCTGTTGCCCAGGCTAGAGTGCACTGGCACAATCCCAGTTCACTGCAACCTCTGCCTCCCGGGTTCAAGTAATTCTTATGCCTCAGCCTCTCGAGTAGGTAGGATTACAAGCATGTGCCCCCATGCCCAGCTAAGTTTTATATTTTTAGTAGAGACAGGGTTTCATCATGTTGCCCGGGCTGGTCTTGAACTCCTGACCTCAAGTGATTCACCCAACCTGACCTCCCAAAGTGCTGGGATTACAGGTGTGAGCCAGTGTGCCTGGCCTGTTTTGTTTTTGTAGAGAGATGGGGTTTCGCCATGTTGCCCAGGCTAGTCTCAAACTCCTGAGCTCAAGCGATCTGCCCACCTTGGCATTGCAAAGCGCTAGGATTACAGATGTGAGCCACTGTGCTGGGCCTATTTGTTTATTTTTTAAAAACATTTTTCCATCACTCATCCAGGTCCCAGAGCAAACTCCCTCTGCTCTCAGAGCTTGACACTGGATATGTATTCCACAGTTTCAGTCCCAGATCATACGCTCTAAGATTTCTCATCCATATATATGTGGATGCCATCCTTTCTAAAAACTAAACATGACCTCCTAGAATGTTCCTATTTAGCTCATTTTATTTAGCATCAGCTCAAGAAACTAAGTCTTACTGTACATTGTCACAACAAAGAAAAAGGTTTGTTTTTATAACTGGTTAAAAACAAGAAAAGATTATCGTCAAAATGAAAATACAAAATTAGTAATTTCTCACTGAAGAGTATGCCCGGGAGCCTCTAGTTGTTAAAAGAGGATAATATTACTCCTTCTTATCAAAAATTCATAATGCCACGTGATTTTTATGATACTTCTTCAATACAAAGGGTTAATATGTATCATCACTGTAATAACCAACAAAATGTCACTTTAAGAAAACTCTAAATTTTTTATAAAAATGTAAGAAATGGGGAGTAAGTGTTCACATCATTAAAAGGCTTTGAATTGACTGCACGCTACCCGCACCGACCCCGCTCTGCCAGCTTCGCACGCCCGCCTGCGCCCACCATGGCCACAGTTCAGCAGCTGGAAGGAAGATGGCGCCTGGTGGACAGCAAAGGCTTTGATGAATACATGAAGGAACTAGGAGTGGGAATAGCTTTGAGAAAAATGGGCGCAATGGCCAAGCCAGACTGTATCATCACTTGTGATGGCAAAAACCTCACCATAAAAACTGAGAGCACTTTGAAAACAACACAGTTTTCTTGTACCCTGGGAGAGAAATTTGAAGAAACCACAGCTGATGGCAGAAAAACTCAGACTGTCTGCAACTTTACCGATGGTGCATTGGTTCAGCATCAGGAGTGGGATGGGAAGGAAAGCACAATAACAAGAAAACTGAAAGATGGGAAATTAGTGGTGGACTGTGTCATGAACAATGTCACCTGTACTCGGATCTATGAAAAAGCAGAATAAAAATTCTATCATCACTTTGGACAGGAGTTGACTATGAGAATGAACAAGCTCAGTTCAATGAGCAAATCTTCATACTATTGTTTCTTTCTTTTTTTTCTCATTACTGTGTTCATTTATCTTTATCACAAACATTTTACATGGAGCTATTTCAAAGTGTGTTGGATTAATTAGGATCATCCCATTGGTTAATAAATAAATGTGTTTATGCTAATAAAAAAAAAGGCTTTGAATTCATGGAAAAAAATAAAAATAAATAAATAGAAACTAAAAACAATATCTGGAGGGAGAAAATACTTGTAAATACATATCTGACAGGTTACATAAAGAATTCTTACTAGACAACAATAAAAAAAGCCAAATAGAAAAGTGGGCAAAAGACTCAAATGTAGAATATATTTGGATAGTCTTCATAAAAGAGGCTATCCAAGTAGCCAACTAACCAAGAAAAGGTGCTCAATTTAAATATCTATTAAAATGCAAATTAAAACTACACTGTGATACCATGGCACACTCACCAAAATATTAAAAAAAAAAAAAAAAAAAGGCTGGGCACAGTGGCTCATGCCTGTAATCCCAGTACTTTGGGAGGCTGAGGCAGGTGGATCACCTGAGGTCAGGAGTTCGAGACCAGCCTGGCCAACATAGTGAACTCCTATCTCTACTAAAAATACAAAAATTAGCTGGGTATGGTGGCACACACCTGTAATCTCAGCTATTTGAGAGGCTGAGGTAAGAGAATCGCTTGAACCTGGGAGGCAGAGGTTGCAGTGAGCTGAGATCATGCCACTGTAGTCCAACCTGGGAGACAGAGCGAGACTCAATGTTAAAAAAAAAAAAAAAAAAAAAAAAAAAAAATTCCAAGGGTTGACGAAGATATGAAACAGCCCAGAACTCTTATACACACTGCTGGTGGAAGTGTTAACTGGTAAAAACACTTTGTGAAACTGCCAGCATCTACAATAACTAAACATAGCTATACCCTATAACCCAGAACACTCCTCCCTAACAGAAATAGAGAAATATGTGTACCAAAGACATGCACAAACATGTTCATGATGCGCATCCGTATTTGTGGTAGCCTCAAACTCGAAACGAACCAGATGCCCATAAACAGTAGACTGGATAAAAAGCAGACTGGACAAAGTCACACAAGGAAACACCATACAGCAAAAAGCAAGCTATGACTAAGGCAGTGACACAGATCTCTTAAAACACAATGCTCAGTGAATGAGGCAGACACAAAAAGAGAACATAGTATATAATACTATTTTTATCTAGTACACAAGTAATCTGTCCTTTTAAGATGCTGGTTATCATCAGTGAATGTAACTGCATGGGGGTACAGAAGGTGGGGCATGCCTCTAGGGTGCTGGCAACATTCTGTTTCTTCAGCTGGGTGCTGAAAAATACATTTAACTTATAAAGTCAATTTACTCCAGGCTGGGGTGGAGGAGCCAGGAAGGAAGAGGTGGTCCATCCAGCTACTGTAATGGAAGCCGCATTGGTACTTTTCCCAGTTGCTCTAACAAAAGCCCCCATGACTGAGCCCTGCTGGCCATCCACACACAAGGCAGCAGCTAGATCAGATCAGGGGAGCTTCAGCCAGAGAATGTCTACAAGGGCCAAGGAGTTCTGCAATGGTCTTCCCTAGTTGGAGCCTTCCCATTAGGGGAAGTTCTCAAGTACCAACTAATATCCTATTTGAATAAGTTGCAACCATTTACACGCTTACACACCCAGACACAGATTATCTTTCAATTTCCCAGCCCTTTGGCTATAACGTGACTGGGCAGTAGGGCTAAAAAATACCCTCAGGTGGCCTTTACCCTTCTAAAGGACCTTGAATATACCAACAGTCTCTCCACATACCAGGAGGATTCAGGGTTCCCATTCCTTGCTTCCTGCAGGGCTGTTCTTGGTCTGAGGATGAGACTATGGCTGTGCCCATGACAGGTGTGATTGGGATTAGAGGAGACCCACATCCACAGGGAAGACAAAAACCATAAAATATAAGCTTATACCTGAGCAGCTAGATTAATCTTCCTGGTATACAGTTTGCCCAGCACCTCCACCACAGCTAAACAGCCTTGTCAGGTTCCCAGTCTCTCCTTCTACCCTGTGCCTATAGGAACCAGCTGGCAGATGGGGAGTCATCTGAGGCTCGAAATATATCAGATGACAACTTCCTCTCCTTCCCCAGCAGGGCCCAAGCACCGGCCACTGCTGATGGGATCTGGCACGCAAGCTCCCACAGTGGCCACGAGTACCAGGCTCACATTTCAAATAGTCTCAACAAGGAGTCTATGTGGTACAGCTAGGGATAGGGGACTCTACAGCTTTCATTCTCAGGAAATATTTCACCTGCAATTTGTCTTTGTCCACTCTAAATTACACAGGTAGTCTATATTCACCATAGAAAAACTCTAAAAAAAAAAAAACAGATAAATGTTAAGTTGGCCAAAATATGAGCACTGAAAAATAATTACAATGACCACTTGGGGATATATATTTATTTCCAGCATATTAAATATAAGAACCAGCAAAGTAAAATACAACACACAAACAAAAACCAGGTTGAGTGGACTGCATTTAGTGAATGATTTTCCATATTAACATGCCTTTAAGTAGGCTGCTAATCAATTGTGGACTTCAATCCCTTACGTTGCTGACACTCAGATTGTTTCCAGTTTCTTGCCATTACAAAGCAGCTGTGATGAACATCCTAGAATAAATGTCTTTGTTCATTTATTCAGTTACGTCCTTAGGTTATATCCCTAGAGATTTCTAATCCTCATTTTTTAAATAGGATCCTCTGTTACCTTAATGTAGGCTCTCTCATGGGATGAACACCCTATCTCACGTATTTATTCATAAATGCTGCAAATTTTCCTCAAAGTACTTGGAGCATAGAAGGGGAAAGGTTAGTAATCAAACAGTCAGAACGAATGTCAACTCCAAAAAACCTTAGCAATTTGTCCCTTCTACACAACCTGTTTGGAAAGCTGAACCATGCGGAATAACCATTTCCTCTTCTTAAACCAAAGGGCAGGCTGTTACCCTGTTTTTAGAACATACACGTGTACAATCAAGCAATATGCAAGCATTTACTATGTGTCAGGCACTGTTCATGGTGCTAGGAATATAGACAAGTACAAAACGGCAAAATCCTTGTCCCCATAGAGTTCACTCAGTAATACTATTTGGACAGTTGGCCTGTAGGTGGTGTCTACTCTTTTTGGCTTTTCTGTATGGTAGGTGTCTATTTATAACAATACAAAAAATAAATATAGAATATATCTTTTCTGGAGTTTAACATTAGATAGCACCATTTTCAATGTTAAAACTCCCTGTTATCTTCACATATGAGCTACAGTAGAATTTTCCTCAGTGTTCAATTACAAGTGTTTGCTCTGGTTCTCCACAGGTTTGCAGAGCTGTTTCCAGGAAGACATACCTTGTATTGAAGAGAGCAGCCTTTACAGCAATGGAAATGGCATCAAACAAATTTCCATCACATTCCAGCAGCTAAGGGAAACAGGAATTGAAGAAGGAAGAAAAACAAATATCATTCCTTACTTTAAACACTACCCCAGTTAAAGGACACTGCTTTTTTTTTTTTTTTGACACACTCTGTTGCCCAGGCTGGAGTACAGTGGTGCAATCTTGGCTCACTGCAACCTCTGCCTCCCAGGTTGAAGCAATTCTCCTGCCTCGGCCTCCTGAGTAGCTGGGATGACAGACATGCACAACCACCCCCCGGCTAATTTTTATACTTTTAGTAGAGACTAGTTTCACCATGTTGGCCAGGCTGGTCTTGAACTCCTGACCTCAAGTGATCCACCTGCCTCAGTCTCACAAAATGCCAGTTATAGGCATAAGCCACTGCACCCGGCCAAGACACTGATTTTTTTTTCTTTCCCTAAATCTATTCTGTGGTCAAGGACACTGATTTCTAAGAAATGCTGACTGTGTGTTAATCAAATAAAGATAACATGTGGCTGCTCTCCTGGCTACCCATGCAGTGACTTGCAGCTTCCTGATACAGTCCTTCACCCTAATTACAGGCACTGCCTTGTCATGGCTGTGCTTACGTGGTCCATGCACACAAGGTCACGGTTGGCCGGGGCTGTGGTATCAACAGTCAGAGGCTGTGGCTTGTGGTGGGCTCCTCCCACAGGCACTCCAGGCAGGTGGGCCTGCCCTGAAGGTGGGACTGATCACTTTTATTTTGCCCCAAATGGCTCCCAATTGTGCTCCAAGTGTTACTCCAGTCTTTGCTAACATATGCTGGCCTCCAAACAAGGAGTGAACGGTGGCTACTGATGCTTCAGCTGCTAACAGGTTCACATTTACTAGTGGAATTACCTCTTGTATATAATAATCAATGTATACCTGATGCTCAGACATGAAATACTACATGTTTTACATTACTTACAATGAAGACTAAGGTCTCTCGGACAAGCTTCTGCCCATGAACAAAAGTGTGGAGTACACTTACGTGTGCTCATCTAGCAAGCAAGGTTAGAGCATATTTAAGTGGAAGGTGCCATATCCTTCTGTCCTCATTTTAGAGAGGCCTTGGCCTGAGGTTACGGAATAAAGCCAACTGGGCTGTCCCAAATAAGGTGAGAAGTCACATGGAGAAAGAAAAGTCACGTATTTCTGTTTTTGTTTAGAGTGTATCTCCTCTTCATTTGAACTGTGAACTCCTAAAGGCTGGGATTCTGTAGTTTTGTTCATCCCTTTATCCCCAGAGCCCAGCAGAAGGGGTGCTATGAAGAAGGTTAGTGATTATTTGTGAAGGAGCCCATCAAAAGACAGCCTTGTGACCAATTTCCCCACCAAAGGTCAACTGTGTGTTGTTAGTGCAAGAAACTTCTAACAGTTATCCCACCTGGGGCAAAAACTGATGCCATTAAAGAACTACAAAGAGCAAAGCAAAGTGAAATTTCTGTGAAATTTTCACTCTCATAAAATAACCCAACTGGGGAAAAACACAATACTGGAAACGGATGGGTCACCTGACTGTAACAGGTTTGAAGTAAATAAGTATGAAAACACGGCAGGGTGCCCAGCTAATAACTGTCTGAACATGGGCTCTGAGGACTTAGATTTCTTTTCCACTACCTTGCTTCAAAGATTTCTACCACCTTGCTTCAAACATGAACTCAATCTATTCAGTACATCTTCAGGTTTGGGATAAAAACTTAATCCCTAAACAAAAGTCTGTCCCCTAACTCACACACAGAAAGCACATTCCCATCATGGCTTTCATGGAAGAACCCCTCTACTGATGAAAATTATGTGAATGCCAAAAATGGATCTACCTCATTAATAATATAATTTTCAAAAATGCTTTTCTAATTCATTAAAAACTTTCCTGAAGATGGCAACTTTTTTCTTTTTTTTTTTTTGAGATGGAGTCTCACTCTGTCACCCAGGATGGAGTGCAATGGTGCCATCTCAGCTCACTACAACCTCTGCCTCCCAGATTCCACTGATTCTCCAGCCTCAGCCTCCCCAATAGCCGGGATGACAGGTGCCCGCCACCATGCCTGGCAAATTTTTGTATTTTTAGTAGAGAAGGGGTTTCACCATGTTGGCCAGGCTCGTCTCAAACTCCTGACCTGAGGTGGTCTAGCTACCTTGGCCTCTCAAAGTGCTGGGATTAGAGGTGTGAGCCACCGCACCCAGTCAGAAAATGACAACATTTTAAAAGCTCATGTGTTCTTCCAAAATAAACAAAACCCTTTAAAAAATATTTCAGAAGAAATCCAAATGCCAGGAGTCTTAAAAAAAGAAAGGTCTACGGATGACAGGGACACAGTGCACATTCCCCTGGATACTCCTGCACACCATGCAACCCCTGCTCACTGAAGAGGACTGCTTCTGAGCTGAGATATTGTCCCAATATTCATCAGTTTTGTAAAAGCCTTTACTAACAGAACAGGCTTCTGTTGCTTTGAGTTTGACTGAATCAAAAGCACCTCCATCCCCATCACTGGGCCATCCCACAAAAGTACCAGTGTGCATGAATACTGAGGATGAACACATTAGCATCATGAACAAATGCAGTGTGCCGCAACACTCGTGTCTTAACTTTTTCTAGTGGGGAAGGGAACAGGACATAATGTTCTTCAGACACAGGATGGAACTCCAGAGTTCACGTCACAGGGCTGCACCTCCCTGGGCAACTATGAAGCCTGCCTCTACCGTCCTCAGTAAGGACTATAGGTTGCCAGTTCCCACCTCCTCAAAACCAGGACCTAAAACTGCCTGCTTGGCAGGAATCATACTACAAGGTACATCCCACTTATCAGAGATGGAAAAAAGCAAACATCTGTAATTTCATTACTTTTACCTATTAGTGGTAGCATTGCAATAGTTACTTGCTAGATAATGGTTACCACTGCTACTTTTTGAGTATACTCCATCCAATATCAAATTAATTAGAAAAATCTAGAAAGCTCCACCCTGTTTTAGTAGAGCCAACATGCAGAGCCAGGCTGTTTCTTTCAATGAAGTTCACCGTCAGTTCACAAATCTCCTTTATCTGCACATTCATTAAAGAATCTATTTGGCCAATGGCTTAGCTTTGTGTCCTTAATCTGAAGTGGAAGATGTAGTTGCCAATCTCAAGTCTCACAAAATTTAACAAAAAGGAATAAAACAGACCCAACAAGAGCCTGTACATAAACAAGCAACCAACTGCTACAGTATTATACAAAAGCAAAATTAAGCCTGGCAGATCACTTGACGTCAGGAGTTCCAGACAAGCCTAGGCAACATGATAAAACCCCATCTCTACTAATAATACGAAAATTAGCTGGGCATGGTGACACATGCCTGTAATCCCAGCTACTTGGGAAGCTGAGGCATGAAATCGCTTGAACTTCAGAAGCAGAGGTTGCAGTGGGCCGAGATCGCGCCAATGCACTCCAGCCTGGGCGACAGAGCAAGACTCCATCTCAAAAACAACAACAACAAAATAATTAATTACAGCTACACAGAGAAGTTACTATTGAGTGCCAAAACCCGGGTAGAGGAGTATTTGGGAGGCAAAGTACAAGGGAGGAAAGGAAAGGCTGGACTAAAAAGATCCCTAAGGGAGTGGGCTCTGTGTGGGAGGAAGCAAGGCCTCTGTAGCCTTACCCAGGAAACCAGGGGCAAGCAGGCTCGGAGCTGTTTAAAAAGCAATGGCACAGTGAGGTCAGAGAAGGTATTCACATCATACAGACCTGACTTTGATATCCAACAGCACTACTAGCAAGCTGAGACCTCCTGGGCTAGTTACTTAACCTCCCTATGTCTTAGTTTCCTAACTTATAAATGGGGAATATAACACTGACCTTTTGCAACAGGTTTATATGGTTTAAATGAAAATGCACGTAAAGAGCTGATCATCCTTCCACACACAATGTACCAACCTGTCTAAATTCTGCCCATCAACTCCGTCTGGCACAACCCAGAGACCACCTCTTGTTTCATTCTTCCCTGACAACTTTTATGGGCAATTTTAGGTGCTACCATTATATTACTATAATTTTACTATAGAATGGCATTATATATATGCTGCTTACATCTATGTTGTATTTAACTTTTTAAAAAATTATTATAGGAGACCATATTTTCCCAACTAATCTCACCCTGTAAGTTGAAACCACTCACCTGAAGAGGAAAAAAGCACTAGAAGGAAAGTAGGCAAACTAGTCTCCAACAAAGGTAGAATATGGCCAGTACAGCAAGGTGATACTCACCAGTACATCCACATAGAGAACCCAGCAGTGCTCCCGAGGACTAATGCAGAGGGTCTTCAGGTCGACACTGCTCTTATTGCTAAATATCCGATAGAGGGTGTTGGCGATCTCTGTGCCAAGGTCATCACCTCCTCGACCTTCAAAGTCAGGGGTAGCATTGGCTGAACTATACAAAACAGAAACAAAAAACCTGGGTGAGTCTAAGTGCAAAAAGCAAAGAGGCAAGGCTTTATTCCAGTTTCCCTGTAGAATGCTGGAAGAGCCAGCTGCTTGATAGAAAGTCACTGAGATGAGACAAGAATGGCATCTGCTACCTTTCCTGCCTCCAGACACACGTAATGAAACAGACCAGCACTAGGACCTGGATTTGTTAGAGTGTGTGATGGGATTTCCCAATAGTTTCTAACAGAAGCCATCTTTAGCCAAAGAGAAACAGGAAAGTGATGGTAATGTGAACCTCAGCCAATAATAATTAACTCTCATATCTTCAGAGTATAATAAATACGCTTGTCTGCCAGGCCCAGGAAGCGGAGAGCCCTACGGAATGAAGCAGTCTGTGTTACAGAGGGGTTTCATCATACCACCTCTAGTTTCACAGCTTTAGAATGCACTAGGATACTTTCAATGTAAAAACCACAATGTAAGCACAATAACCTTTCTGGAATGACTTAAAAGACATGTATGACAGTACGTCAAAGCTTTGTCATAAACTTTAGATATCACTGTACTGAAGAGAAAGAAAGATTATTGGCTCATAAATAGTAGGTTACCTCCTTTATTTGGTGTTTTTCAAGAAAAAAACTTTTTTCTCCTTTTTGGCTTCTTGATATTTATGACCAATAACCTCAACAAAACTAATGGGATTCAACATTAGCCACCCTAAAAACACCGAAGTGTTTAGTAGGACGTTTCTGAGAGTTTTGGCTTAATACAAACAAATTCTTAATATGTATGTGAGATAAGTAAACATTATAGTAATCATTTTATTGTAACAATAAAGGACCAGAAAGGTAAGAAGCCAGTGGTTTCAGCATGGACTCTATGAAATCACGTATGAAAGCCTTCTGACCCTCACCCCATCTGGAAGCCCTACACCAGCTACCAGACACCCAGAGACGGAGTGAGGCAGATGCAGACCCAAAGCCAGCAGATCCAATGAGGTAGGGGAGTTTCACGATAGAGAGCAAACAGTGAGGTGGGAGCAGGAGAGGGGCACAGAGTGTCAATTAGTGTTCAGGGTTACAGGAGACCTCAAACCTGGGATGAGCAGAGCTGGTCAGGCCAGAAAGGCAGGAGGATTCTAGGCAATGCAAAACCTGTGTGAAGGCCCATGGCAGTGCCCACCCCATTTGTATAACACTAAAAGAAATCTCACTTGGTAATACAGGTAAAAGACTGAATTCTAAAATAATCAGACTACACTGTTACATAAAATTTTGCCTCTCTAATTACATATTCTTTCCTTACCACTGTGAGCCAGCAGAATCCCCTTTAAAGTCCCCAAGAGAGACTTCATTACTGCCATAGCAACCTCGCTGTTCCCTGCCTCTGCTGGACTCAGGCATCAAGCCAAGAAAAGCAGCTTGTTTATGGTGAAATAATCAAGTCACCAGGGACCAAGTTTTTACTCTGCACAGCCAGCAAAACACAACCTGTTTTTAATTTAAACACTAAGCAATCAATATTAAGTCCCGTGTTTTAAGTGCTTAAAAATACATCTACAGAGATTTGTGTGTACACAAATCCAGTCAGAGATACTTATGCTCAAAATGTTTATGTTTCCCTGAATGCAGTGGGCACATCCTCCTGGGTGTGACTACTTTCTCTGGGACTAATGCATTAACTCTTCTACAGCCTTGGGGGACAGTTTATAGAGCTTCCCAGGTCCAACTGTCTAAATTAGTCCATCTATAAAATCATACCCCATTAATTTGTTATTTTTTGACATTGGGTTAATGTGGACATTTTTACGTATTTTTAAATGCCTTCACACACACACACACACACACACACACACACACACACACACACACACACACACCCTATCTTTCAGAAGAGCCAGCAGTCAGACAGAGAGGAAGGTTTAGAGACTCATGAGCCCATTGAGCTCTCCTGTGTCTGGATGGTGCCATAGTTGTGCAGTGACTCTGGGGAGGAGGCTGGGAAAATGGAGGGGAATTATTCAGGGTGGGGGATGGAGCACAATGCTTTAAGTAACATAAGAAAGCTAGAGCCCCCATATTCTGCTGATGGGTGAAGACAAAGAGAAATGAGGATTCCACTTCACTACTGGGGCACTCACAGCCCAAGGACTCTTTCCAACAAATTTAGACAGAAATGTAGACCTGGAAAGGGCCTTAGAGACCATCCTCAGAAGATGAAAACCCAAATGCCTACCAGGGTCAGTAAGGTTACTACATGTATCTGAACAAAAGGCAACATACAACTAATAGAGAATGATGGAGGCTGTAGCAAGCAAACTTTCCAGCCCTGACTTAAGGTCCACCTAAAAAAAGAAACATCCCGATATGAAACAAAAATCTCACAGGTGGGATTTGACCTGCAGGATGACACCATGAGACTTCAGATAGTCTAACTCTCTCACTTTACAAGAAGGGAAAGTTTACCATTTTTTGAATGTTTAGTATGAACTAGACACCACTCTTAGCACTTTAGGGGTATTAACTCATTTAATGTTCACAACAACCCTAGGAGATATTGACTCCATTCTAGAAATAAGAAAACTGAATCAGAAGTTATGTAATTTGTCCAACGCCACATGATGAGTGTGCCTGGTAAGCTAAAATTCTAACCCAGGCAGCCTGGCCCTTAACTACTATGCTTCCCTGTACTCTCCTTGAATCTGTAATTTGGCAAGCTTGGTTTACATTCTAATGTTAGTCAGATTTACTTTCCTTGGGTTTACCTTTTGCCTCAAGGAAATGAATGGGTGCTCTGGTCTTGGGACTTATCACTAGACCACAAATGTTGGAGTCAAAGAATGTAGACCACAGAACCCCTAAATAAAAAGCTCCTCTGCTCTGTTACAGAGACAGCGAAAAAAAAACACACAGGCTTCTAGCCACCTGCTCATATGTATCACAATCTACTCCTTCAGTGGGGGGTGTACGCACTTGGTCTTTTGGGCATAAAACCAAATGCTTTCTCCATTTACCAAAACCAATTCAGACCCTTCATAAAGCATGATCAGTCCCTTTTCCAGAGTTGTGGGAAATTGTTTACTGAGTTGGATAAATTAAGATCCTGGGAATGCCACCCCTTCCAGGTCTCCACCCTCCTGACTCATCACCTCCACCCTTCTGCTTGGAACATTTCTGGTTTAACTGGGGTAGGCTGAGATCAAGGCCATGCCTACCTGCAAAGGGACTCTAGACACTGGGGCCATTGTTGCTTGCCTGGCAATCAATCTAGCCTGCAAATCTATGGTCTTACAGCCAGGTCAGTCCAGGCTCACAGCAGAAGGCAGGGATAACTCAGGGCCTTACCCTCCGGTAGTCAACTGGCCCCAACACAGGCCCTAAGGCTGATTCCTCTCTGTGTACACCTGCTCATTTCTGAGCCTGCAGAAGCCTCCCTATAAATGGGTACCAGATCAACAGTAAATTCTGAGCTTTCATCACAAGCCTTTGTCTGAAGTTTCCCAGAGGATTATCTCATCAGCTTGGGAGACTGATTACAATTAGCCTCAAAAGGCTTCTCTGCAGGTTGCCCCTCAGCTTTATAACCACCCCCAGCCCTTCTGCCAGAAAAAGGATCCCCTGTAGCAGCACTAAGCAGGCAAGGAACCCAGATATAGTGGCTCTACCCACCAATGCAGGGCTTGAAGATTCTGGTTCAATTTTGATGAAAAATACAAGTGATCACACTGAAAAATAGTTAAGATCCTAAAGGGAAGTGACAAGTGCAGGGTATCCTGAAATATTTATGAATGAAAAATGTTCTCCTAAACTCCCCTAGTTAAAAACGCAAGCCTCTCTGGGAGGCTAAACCACAGTCCTAAACCCATCAACACAATGGTCGGAGAACTGAGAAGCAATCTGATGGCTTGCCACCTAGTGGCAGCCCAGAGTGATACACCAGCTCACTAAAATCCTATCTTGCTCTTGGGCTTTAGATAGAAACCATCTTTTCCCAAAGTTTCCAAGTTCTCATTGAAAAGAGCCTACTCTTAGACTACAACCAGCAAACCAAAGATACGAAAGGGTCCGATTTTGCTCCCAGTTTAGTGGCAGTGCTGCCAGACATCTCTGGAACAGGACTCAGGGTCCATGCAGCAGCCTTTCCAAAGGGCTGTGAGGGCTATATCGAAGATTTTTCATCATTCCCAGGAAACAGTAAATTATGGAGGTGGTGACAGTGCCTATCTTGGCTCCATATATTATCATCCCAAGCAGACAAAACCAAATGAAATGAATTAGCAGAAAATCAACTGGTTTTCTGAGACCTCTCTACCCCTGGGAATTTAATTAAAACTAGAAGTTGTTGACAAGAAGTTAAATCAAACTAGACTCAGAGCAGCAAGAGAAACCCTCAGCACTGCCCCCACCACCGCCACCACCACCACCGCCACCACCACCGCCGCTGCCACCACCGCCGCCACCACCAACACCGCCGCCGCCACCACCGCCGCCGCCACCACCAACACCACCAATTCCTGTCCTTCCACTAGGTAGCAACTATGTTTCGGCCTGTGGAAAGACAAATGACTTGAGTCGCCCTATGCCTGGAGTCAGGGTGGGAGTGGGCATGTGGCACCCTTATTGCTGGGCACATCTACAGGTGTCCAGAAGCCATTCCTATTCACTGATTCAGAATAAAGGGATGTGCCTGTTTATGCAATTAAAATAATTATGCTCCTTGAAGACTCAAGTGAGGCTCTGATACAGGTGGCAGCCATCAGTGCTTGGTAACATCTCCCATCTCTGTGGGAAATGGGTTTTGTGGTTCTCTCACGGTGATTCTACTTGCTGGGCTGATTACATTAGCTGAGCCACTTAAGGAAGCTAAAGTGTGCCACCTTAAGACTATCTTGAGAAATCGATTCAGGAGAACTATCTGGAAACTGGAGCTCTTAGGTCTGTGGGGATCCTTTTGAGACCACAGAGGAAGAAAAGAGACCAGCAGGCAGCCACTCTAAGCCAGGAAAGATGGGCTACTTCTAGAAGCCAGATCTTGGGGAGAGGCAACTCAAAGGATCCTCTCACACTAGAGTCACTCTTCCTTTACAGCTGGGACAAGAAAGGGACAAGGGCAGCAAGCTAACTTGGAGTCAGGTTTAGACACAGTGAAATGTATACCCCACACCAAGTATCTGAGGGCAACACCCTCTCTTTGGTGTGGTTGAGCTGAATGTCTTTGGTCTGCCTAAAACGAGTGAGGTAGAAGGTAATGAAGGAGATGAAAAGGAAAGCAAATTACAAGCTTCTTACACGTTGTCTGCTCCTCAGTGACTGGTTACTGCACTGAATTAGGCAGATCAAGGTCAGCAGAGGCATTTTGCTTCCTCCAAAGACAAAGGAAAAGGTAAGTTGGGGGCCTGAACAAGGTCATCATCATCCACAGTGACTTAAAAGATGGGCCTTTCCATGGAACAACTCAAGCTGGTAAGAGATGTGCAGAACCAGGAGAGATGACTTGGGGGACCAGAGCAGGGGACAGGAGTAGGCTGGAAAAAAATTAACCAGAAAAATGAACACGGATAGTTCTTGGACTCCCAAGAACAGCCCTCCAAAGCTGGCTTCCACAGGCTGCCTGAAGTAAAACAAGCAAAGATTCACAGGTTGGACAGATCTGAGCTGGCATTTTTAGCTTTGTAACCCTGGGAAAGTCACTTACACTCTCAGAACTCATTTGTCGTCTCTCTCACAGGAGTGCTGTGAGAATCAGCTTCTGTATATGGAAGTGTGGACTGGAAGACTGTAACTCACTCTACAAAAGTGGGTTAACGTTTATGCAGAAAAGGCCGCCATTATGGCCCAAAGCTGCTATCTTCAGAAGGGTCTGTTTGTAAGACTGGCCCTTGGCTGGTATCCAGGAACCTGGCTCTCAGACTATTCTCAGTCAATAGTAAACTGATGGGGGTAGTCCACTATGCCTAGATACTGCAAATAATATGGTTTATGCTGAGCATTAATATACCATAATAATATGGTTATTTGCTTTCCTTTAGAAAACTTCATTATGTATTAAGCAGGGAGTGTCTTGCGTGACCAGCCCCTCGGTAAATATCTTGGGTGCTGAGTCTCTAATGGGCTTTCCTGGGCAGAAATATCACAAATAAGTTACTGCATTTTCATTGCTGTAATAAACCTTAGCTATGAGTATCACTATATGGTAAGTCTAGCAAATCTCGACTATGAGGGTGGTCTTAGGGATCCTGATACAGGGTCAACATTATACACCTACACCTAGCATGAGCCCAGAGATCCTTACCCACTTGAAAAAGGCCTGGCTTCCAGAAGTAAGGTAATTGATAGAAGATGGGACCTGGCTGGCAACCCAATAAAAAGCCCCAACCCCTAGACAGTGGAGCTAACAAGGAGAAATAACACTTGTTGAAAGCCCATCGGGAGTCAGTCACTGTGCTAGGTATTCACTCTGTTTTCATTTCCTCTTCATCACCACGGTATTATTTATTATCCTCATTTTTTAGATGAAGAAATTTGGCCACAGTGAGACTGAGTAACCAGCCTGAGATCACAAAGCCGGCCAGAGAAGGAAGTGACATTCTGGCGCAAGGCTGGCTGCAGACACTGCAGAACCCTCTCTCCTCCCAGCACCCATACTGCCTGCCTAGCTGCCACTTCCTCAGCCTGTCAGGCTGCTTGGCTCACCCTAGGCCTCATCTGTCAACCAAATCATGAACAATTTTCTGCAGAACTAGAGCAGGAAGAAAAACAGGGCATTTAGACCAAATGATCCTTACTGTCTGTCTATGATATTTTTCAAAGCACCGTAACACACATTGCACTTCATTTGACCCGCGTCACAGTCATGTGCTAGGCTGCCTGGCAGATGTCCTCCTTTATTGGACAGAAAAAACAAGGCTCAGCAATCGCCAGGTGGCTAAGACTAGGGCAGGACGCAAGCCAAGAGTCCTGACTAGGTACTCGGCACATAGGAGGAGGTCAGTAAATGCTTGCTGGATGGCTGAATAAGTATAAAAGTGAGTTCAACAGCAAACTAGAGGTTCATTTTCTGAATCTTCAGTTTTAAAATCATTTTTCTTTAAAAATATCTGCATAGACAGTACTGACCAGTCAACAAAGAACTCCAAGTAGCCTTCATTTGGTTTCTCCAGCTTCGGCGTCCCCATTTCTGCTTTCACTCCCACCAAGATGTCTGTGTGACCCTGCAGACACATGCAAGAAGGATCCTCATTCAGGGCAGGCAGCCAGGTACTCCACCACCTCCCTCATCTTGTGGATATACACCCCTGGGGGACTCTCTTAGGAGCCGTGCTAAGACTTGGAAAGTGGCTTTTGGAGGAAGTGAGCAGTCTTTCAGATCTGGATAGACCCCCGCCTCCCTGAGTCTGGCTTGGATCTTGGATGTCCCCAAGAGCAATTTGAATTCCAAAAGCCAGAAGGCATCAACAGCTCGTTCCTTAGGACCTACTTGTTTCTCCACCTGGGAGTGAACCATGGTCCAATACTCACCAGCTTGACCCTGGCGGATCCGCTGGTGTTGGACACCACATCAGTTTCCACTTCGACACATCGGTAGTCCTCACAGCCACGGCCATCCACGCGGAGGTCTTCCTAGGTGTTAACAACCACAGTCCTAAGGCTGTTACCCCAGACCAACAACAGACTCCTAAACTGACTCACTCATATCCCCCTAGAGAAGACATACGCAGTATACCTCTTTTCCTCTTAGTGGATCATCTAAAATTCTGTCCTTGCAGCTAATAATATGACTATTTTACATATGAGGAAATAGAAACTCAGAAGAGTTGAGTGACTTGTCCAAGGTCCTATAGCTAGTGAAGACAAAGCTAGTTTTCCATGCCAGTTGTGTCCGATTGCAAAATCGATACTACATGCCACTATATAGAACATGCACACAAAACAAGATCAAACAAGAGATAAAACAAGCCACCTCTCTCCAAACCTACAATTCTTAAACTGCACCAAGAAGTATATGTTGTCAGAGCTACAGGGTACAACCATCTCAACTGAAGCCCTCCTACCCCTAAAACTCAGCAAGATCTACCGCGTAAATAGTGAAAGACACCTAATCTTCTAAAAGAGGCATTCCCTAGAACAAGGTCAACAAACTAAGTTCCCTTGCTTTTGTAAACAGTTTTACTGGAACATAGCCATACCCACTTGTCTAGGTATTGTCTATGATTGCTTTTGCACTACAAAAGCAGAGCTGAGTGGTTGGGCCAGAGACATGATCCATAAGGCCTCAAATCTTCACTATCTAGTCCTTTACAGGAAGTTTGCTGACTTCCTGTAAGTTGGCAGAAGATGATTTTCAGAGTGGTCTACACACTGCCTGTTCCTTCTGCCTGTTTATTTACTTCTTCAATTATTTGTATCAGTACAACTAATTGATATATTTTATGCTATGGTTATAATCCAATACTATCATTAGTTTTTTGCTGCTCAAAGTGTTCCAAATTTGGCCACTGGGGGCTTCTTAGGTGAGTTTTGTGATCTTTCAACATGCCTCCAACTTTTTGTGAGTAATTTTTACTTTGTGCAACAGAAGCTATCTATCCTCTTGTGTTTTCTCTGCCCAACCCTAGGGATCAAGCCTTTCTCCAAAGAGCCCTGGTTGCTTTTATTGCAGAATGGTACCTAAAACCAGGATCTAGGCGCTAAGTTCATTGCTGTTGGGACTATTATTTCTTCCAGACCTTCTCAGCAGACAAAGCTAGAAAATATAGGTATGCATACTAATCCCCCCCACACAAATCTATGTTTAATTCTGTATCTATCAACATATTTATTAAAAAGCCACAAGTTCATACTGATAGCTCAATTCCAATCTAACATCATATGGTTCATTCTAACCTTTCTCCTTTGCTTATTTGTAACTTCTTTCTCAAAGAAGGAGAAAGCCGGCTCTTATTAGCTACCATGCATTTCTGTATTTGTTCAGTCCTCGTATACCAGTTTCCGAACTTCTAACCTATACCCCTGTACTAACAGCATACACTATTTGCATAAAGTTCTGTCTTTAGCTTCATAGTATCCAGCCAAAATACTGTTTTCCAGTTACTTTAGTTTTAGTTCTTTTCTTCCACAGTGCTCTTCTGTGCAGTTACATTATTCATTTGTAACACAGACTCACTTTTTTTTTTAAGACAATGGCTCTGTAGCCCAGGCTTAAGTGCAGTGTGGCAGGATCTCAGCTTACTACAACCTCCGCCAACCGCGTTCAAACGATTCTCCTGCCTCAGCCTCTGGAGTAGCTGGGATTACAGGTATGCGTGACCATGCCTGGCTAATTTTCATTTGTAAATTTTTGTATTCCAGTTGGGGTTCCCCCACATCCTGGTTATGTTTTAAATTACTTATTTACTTTCGGGGTTTGTGAGTTATCATTATAGTTCTAAGAGACAAAACTCTCAGAAAAGTATGCTCAGAAAAACCTCTCTCTCCTCTTCTCTGTATTATGCTATTTTCATGTCCCCTTCTTCCAATCCACCCCAGATTTCTCTTTAGTTTCTAGTTTATCTTTCTTGTAGTTTCTCTACACAAATAAGCAAATACATTAATTTTTTAATATCCCCTTGTTTCTTATATGAAGAGAGGAATACTTTAGATACTCTCTTATTTAGAAAAAAAAAAAAAAAAAAAAACTATATATATGCAGGAAATCATTCCCCATTGGCTCTTAGAGCTCTTCATAAACATTTTTCAAAAGCAGTTTTTTTTTTTTTTCCAGAAAAAGAATCATTAGTTTCATCAGATTCTCCAAAGAGTTGATGCTTCCCAGAAACATAAAAAGTAAAATAAACTACTGCTCTAAAGTATGTGACTGGCAGTTTACCTTTAAACTGCCTGGATAACAGAATATGTGACTGATTTTTTTTTTTGAGAAATTAAACAGAGAAAAGCAAAACACAGAGGCATGTCCCTACCACACAGTACCGATGATCACCCTCTGCCATATTTGCTTCAGCTCTTTCACCCGTTTAACTTTTCAATGACAGAAAATAAACATCACAAATCAGATGGAAGGTCCTGTGCAGCCTATCCTTTTCCAGCACATTTTGCACATTTCCTCCCTGGAGGAAATCTCCATCTTGAGTCTGGAGATGAATTCAAAAAGCAACAGAATTTCAAGTCTAGGAGAGTGAGCCTTTGGGGTAGAATTCCAGAAGGTGATCTCTCTTCACCAGAGGACCCCTAACTATGTAACTGTGTCTCTTCCCAACATCACCCATGGAACCTGAAGGCTTTCTAGCTCAATCTCTGACACTCTACCCCTCTCCACCTCTATGTGCCCCATCCCCCAGCTAGGAAAGTGAAAACCCAGCCCAGAAACTTCAATGACAAGAAGTTCTTCATGGGGTGTAGATACGGTATCAGTAGCAACATGACTCATGGTTCCAGGCCAGCTCCTGGCACTAACTAGCACCACTTAAGATAAGCCCCTTCCCTCTCTGGACTAGCTTCCTTATTTGTAAAAGATGGAGATTAAATTAAATTAGTCTCAAATGTAGTTCTCTAATTCCACAGATCTATAAATTAAAATGGCTGCAATTATTTGCAATAAATAATAGCAGCTGCTATTTACTGTGCATTTACTATACACCAGATGTGTGAGGAATACTGCACAGTTAATCCATTTAATCCTTTCAATAATCCTGTAAGATAGTGCTATCCATTCTGTTTTACAAATGAGAAAACTGAGGTTAAAAGATGTCAAATGAATGGCTCAAGTTCACACAGCCAGTAACTAGCATTTGAACCTCAAGTCAGAGCTCTTAACTGCTATGCTACACAGTCCGCTGCATTCTAAAGGGTCTCTTCACTTTACAAAAGGACTCAGCACAGACCTCCTTCATAGCATGAACTGGCTTGGACACAAGGTCACAGGGTTTACTACTGTTGCCTCTTTCTTTTTTTTTTTTTGAGACATGGTCTCACTGTCACCCAGGCTGTAGTGCAATGGTGATCATAGCCCACTGCAGCTCAAACTCCTAACTCCTAGGCTCAAGCAATCCTACCTCAGCCTCCTGAGTAGCTAGGACTACAGGAACATGACACCATACCCAGCTGATTTTTAATCTTTTCTTTGGTAGAGATGGGGTCTTGCTATGTTGCCCAAGCTGTCTCAAACTCCTAGTCTCAATGACCCTCCTACCTTAGCCTCCCAAAGTGCTGGGATTACAGGCATGCGCCACCACATTTGGTCTAACTACTTCTAAAATATCACTTGTTCTGAAGGTTAGTCACACCTCTTTATAGTGAAAACCTACTTGTTCGAGGATGGGGCTGGTGGGCTCTCAGAAAACTGAGCCTGATTAGATACTGCCTTTCTACCCTTTAATTCACTCTGCCTCCCAGGAGAAGGTTCAGGTGATAAGCAAAAGTTAAGCTACAAATTTTCCTTTCCAAGCATGCATAATTTTTTCCATAGAAAAAAAGCACCTAAAGAATAAGGGGAAAACAAACCAAAAAACCCAAACTAACCAGCCCATGAATCACTGTACCCAGGGCAACTTTTTTTTTTTTTTTTTTTTAAATATAATTCTCCTTATAAAAGACTTAGGAAATTGCCCAAACCTGCCTGGCCTAGCTCAGAGCCTGGTGCTCTGCCACAGTTCTTATTTATCTGAAGTAGTCAGTAGCAAACGAATTAATCCATGTATGAACACTTAAATAAGAGTCACCCTGAAGTAAAAGCTCCATTTTAAAACTCAAGAGATGTTAACAGCATGGAGTGGTATCCTCTCCTTCTCGGCAGAGGAGACCGACGTGCCTCTAGATCAAGGGCTTCTGGATGTCAGGATAGCTCCTGGTAACTTTCATAGCTGTTACTCATGTGATCACAATAACCCTACCAGTTGGGTGTGGTGTAGTGTGGTGGAAACTGTCACCTTCCAAATTATATTTAAATCTCTGCTGTCACATGCCAGTTTTGTGACCTTGACCTCAATAGCTCTAAGCCTGTTTCTTCATCTAGAAAGTGGGAATAACCCTGACCTTACAGAATTACAAGAGAACAGAAACATCATTAAGCATTTAAGGGAGCCCTGCAGTATTACACATAGGAGTTCCCCCAAAGCAGTTCCATTCCCCTGCTGCTGGGGGCATGCATATTAACTCACTACATCCTCAAAAACAACCCTGAGAGAGGTTACAGATAAGAATGGAGGCACCTAAGTTTCAATCTCCTGTTTGTGACAGAGTGGAAGGACATTTAACTAAGCCCAGACCTGCTTTCCCTGACACCTAGGAAGCCCAGTCCTATTACTGTACTTCTTAATAGAAACTGACAAGTTGGCCCTACCAATCTGACACACCTGGAAGGATTTTATACTCAAAGTGGTCCTCTGAGGTTGTGTTAGTCCCTCATTACCTTGCTTTGACTTGTCTAATACTCCAGAGATTCCTAGAGAAGTGAGACTAAATTCCTTCCCCTATTAGAAGGTGACCCCCACTCCCTTAGGAAAGGGGCCATATCTGGTCCAGCTTCGCAGGCTCAGGCCTGTGACTGGGACTATACAAGCAACAGGAGTCCAGACAGACACTGCTTAAGGTGCACTGCCGGCACTCTAACCAACAAAAAAAAGTTCAGGAGATTTCAGAACTGAATCCGTGAAGATTCCATGGTAGGCTCATTCACCTGCATCCTGACCTTTATTTGGACAGTGTAAATTGTGTTTTGCTCCTCTATAAATATGAAAAATAGGAAAAACTAGGTGTTGATCCTTGTTTGACTTTCCAACCCTGTTGAGTAGCCAGGGATTCCTCTGAAAGGATATGGCTCCATAAGGCTGCACCTGCGGTGTTTGGGCATAAGGCTTTCTGTGCCATGGGTCTGTAAACAGAAAGGTCAGAGAGCTAAAAATCAAAAGTCCTGGGACCCAGCTCTAATTCTGTCATGGCCAGACTGAGCAACTGAATACTGCCTGCTCAATCTCATAGTTGAAAACTAAGCTGAGGCCCTGATCTTCCTCTTCCACGCTGTACCCCTAAACAATGCTTATGATGAAAGCTAGATCCGCAGAAAAGAAATGGAAGCCATCGGCTGAGCCACAACTCCCTTCCATAGCCAAGAACATACATTAAAATGGCTTTCATAGGGTCCCAGGAGCCCTGTGATGGGGTTAATCAACTGCCATGGCCAGGTGTGAACCTATGAGGGCCAGTTTAATGTCCAGGTCATGGCCACAGCACTCAGTTGGCTGACTGGGAAAGCTTTATTGTGCCTACAGCCCTGTAAATACCACATAACAGTCATAATCCAACTCCAACAGCTAAGACCAGGGATAGGTCCCTTAACCAAAGGCATATAATCCACAGGGCGACCGGCTCTTTTTGGCATCAAATACTAGCAGACTAAACTGATTCTTTCACTGGAATCTGATCTCTGATCTGAGAAACTCTTGAGAGAAGAAAGAAGTTAAAAAGGAGCTGACAGGTCATGATATGGAGGAGCCCAGAGAGGCCACACAAAAGTAAAGGTATTTGGCAGAGGCAGGCTCCACAAAGGAGGGAAGCTGGACAGCAAGTGGCTGGAGAGAAGGGATAAATCTTGGGAGAGAAAGCAGAGGTGTCGCTAGAGATAAAGACAGTCAGACAGCCACACAGGCCATGAGGTAATCCACAGAGCCCACGAGAGGTGGTACCTCAGAGCTGCCTGGGGGCTTTCCAGCTCTTGCCACAGATATCCCTTTTCTCTCTCTTTTTTTTTTTTTTTGACACAGAGCCTCTCTCTGTCACTCAGGCTGGAGTACAGGGGTACAATCTTAACTCACTGTAATCTCCTCCAGCCTCAGCCTCCCAAGCAGCTAGGCCTACAGACATACATCATCACACACCGGACTAATTTTTTTTTTTTTGAGATAGAGTGTTGCTATGTTGCCCAGACTGGTCGCCAACTCCTGGCCTCAGGTGATCCTCCCACCTCAGCCTCCCAAAGGGCTGGGGTTACAGGTGTGAGCCACTGTACATGGCCTACCTCTTTTCTTGAGATAACTGAAAAATCCCAATTCCTTCAAATTAAAGGAGGTTTAATACTCAACAGCCACAGGCTGAATCTTTAATGAGGTCACTCTGAAGGCTGGGTATCTAGTGTGGATGGTTTAGGACAAAGTCACACTTCTGATGGAAAAACAAACTTGAGAGGGAGCCAGCATTTTTTCTGTGTTGACCACAGGCCAAGTGCTTGACATCTCCTATCTCATCATTCCTCATAACCCCATTCTACCTCCAGGTGCATATGTCCCCATTTTACACAAGGGGAAGCAGGCTCAGTTATGCAAGCAAAATCACTTATTATAAACGGTGAAGGTGCCTGCTCAACCTGACTCCACAGCCTCATTCAAGCAGAGGCAAGGAAACCATGTGACTTCAGCAGGAGAGAGCAGAGATTCTTGCATCATGATTTGGTCTGAACCAGGTCAATGGTTTGTCCATGGGCCAATGTCTGATGACTGCCCCCAAATTTTCCAACACTTTATGATAATGTCCATTTTCAGACTCCAGCCCCAGAGAGTCTGATTCAGAATGTTGGTGAAGCCTCAGAATCGTTATTTTGCAGGTGAGTAATACGCACTTCAATGCTTTAGAATCCCTGCGCTAGGAGGGAAGTTAGCAATGGCTTCTCCTGGATGCAGAAAATACATATCTAGCCGATTAAGCCAGAAAAGAGAATAAATCCTAGATTCTAAAAATTCTGACGTCTGCCCCAAGTTCTGCAGAGAAAACCGTTCACTAGTAAGACAAAACCTATACAAAGAAATGCAACATAGGGTTCTAAAGGAACTTACAATAAATGTGGGAAAAATGCAACCAAAACAATACAGCAGCATATGCCATATACTATTTAAGCTCTAGAAAAACCGGGGAGTGGGATGTCAATTAGAACCTTCTCCTTCTCTTCCTGTTCCCACAAGCTTTCAGAGGAAAGGGGAAAGAAAAGGAGGTAGAAGAAGTAAAGACTCTCTCCCACCTTGATCTTGGGATCCCTACTGAGGAAGTGGAAGACAATGAGGCAGGAGGGTGGCCTCAGAGTCAAGTACGGGCTTTGCAATCAGACAGATCTGAATTTAAATCCCAGCTCCACCATTCAATTACTGTTATCACCTTGAGCTCAGTTCCATGTCTGTAGAGATAATACTTAACCTTCAGAACTGTAGTAAACATTCAATGAAATGAAAATTATAATATGTACCTAATAAGAATGGGATACAGCCTTCAAAGACTGAAAAAGAACCTAACAGAAACCAACCAAATCATTTATCAAAACACTGATTTAACTAACCTTTTTGATTCTCTGTTCTCCCCTGGGAGAGGGGATCTGTTCACCAGGTTGACTCAAATTGTATCACCTAGACTCCCCTTGCTGGCTTCTGGTTGAATTTGCCCAATATAAAATACCAGATCAGAGGGTGCCCCTCACCCCCGAGGGGCCACATTTCTGATAGGGCTTGCATCTATCCAAGACCATGACTTCTGTTAGACAGCTTTCCTCCACAGTTCCAGCTATCACTGAAATATGGTAATACTGTTTCCTCACCGAGCCCCTTTGGACTAAGGGCAGTAGCCACTCCCAGTAGTTGTTTGTCTCCAGGCTCCTCAACATCTCTTACTGCTTCCCTGAAACCTACCCACACTGCTCTAGAGTCCCATCATAAAAGTCTCCTGAACTATCTGAAGTGGATTCATTTTCTGCCCAAAACTAAAATGATCCATCCTACCTTCTCACAAACTAACTTCTCCCAAGTGTGACACATCCTCTAATAGCCATGTTTTAGCCTAATTATTCTATCTACCCTTTCCCTCCACCCCCAAAAAGAACCAGTTTCTTTCTCTTGGAAACATGAGTTCAGAACTGAACTAGAAGGAATGGTCTCTTTTACAGAAGGAACCACATTATTTCTACCACTGGCCCAAGAAACAGAAAACCAATCTGCGGAGAGACCAAAACAAAGCAAAGAGGGGAAAAAAAGGCAGAGATGGGCAAGAGAGAGCCTTGCTCATCCAAGTGCCCATGGATTCCTGGAGAAACACTTGTAGCCTTGTAATCCACACTATTTTGCTTGAGCCAGTGTGTTGGTTACCATTACTAGCAACTGAATCCTGAACACAACATCATAAGGTTGACTTCAACTACTTCTAATTATCACCAAAACAAGATGAAATACTCCCTGAAATAGTAAAAGAACCAAAGGCTGAAGGGAAAGGGACATCAGAAGCTGAAATGGACTTTACTGGACCAAAGGTGAAAAGTAAACCATAAAATGACTAGGACTATACACGCAACAGGAGTCCAGGCAGGCACCGCTTAAGGTGCACTGCCAGCACTCTCTAACCAGCAAAACAAAAGTTCAGGAGATTTCAGAACTGAATCCATGAAGATTTCATGGTAGGCTCATTCACCTGCATCCTGACCTATATTTGGACAGTGTAAATTGTGTTTTGCTCCTCCATAAATATGACATATTTTTGGCCAATGATCATAAGCCCTTATGAAGAGGTCGATTTGAAGCCTGTTACTCGGCATGGCTCTGTGATACACAGAGCTAAGCATTTGCCAAATATGTGCATGGTGGTGAGAGGGAGGTTTGACTTAAAAATAAAAACACTATCAACTCATTTCCCTTTTAAAGCTTACCTTACTCATTCAATGCTAACAACCTACCAAGTGCTGGACACTGGCTAGGCCTTAAGGGTCCCATACAGACAAGTCAATAGGCTATTACTGCCTTCCAAGATCCATCATGAGGGAATGACTGAGCCTCTAAGACCTCTAGGATCATGCTTTGGCCACCTCTGCAAGCTGATCTTCCACCATTTCTCCCAACCCACCCCTTAGGCTCCACACGTCCTCCACCTGAGGACTTACAGATTCACCATCCCTTCCTTCTGGAACACTCATGCCTACTTAATTGTTGGTCATGCTGAGAGCCCAATTAAAATGCTATTTCCTTAGGGAAGCCTCCTCTGACCTCTCAGTCTAGATCGTGTCCCTGTGTTTTCCTTCATAGCACTCAGTACAATTTTATATATATACACTCAAGCACATTAATAATTTCTGCATCTTCCTTCTGGCATGAGAGCTACTAAGGGCAGGTTCCTTCCTAGCCCCTCAGCCCAGCTCCATTCTGTGTTGAATAAATGAACCTGAGTCCTGAAGATACAGAGGGAAAATCCTTGATATGGATTTAGGGGAGCAATTCTGCCTCCTTAGGGAAGCCTTCAGAGCATTACAAGTCCCTGGAATTCTTTTTTATTTATTTTTTAAAAATGAATTTTATTTCTTTAGAGATGGGGTCTTACTGTGTTGCCCAGACTGGTCTCAAACTCCTAGGCTCAAGCAATCCTCCCATCTCAGCCGTCAGAGGTGCTGGGATTACAGGCATGAGCCACCATGCCCAGCACCTGGTGTACTTTAACTTCTTCAGCCTCCACTAACTATACCACTTCCTTGGCATAGATCTTAAATTACCTTTGTCTTTATTTTATTCACTTTTACTCTCTTTGTCTCCCTCCTATCTTTCATTTATTTCACAACCATGTTTTAGCATACCTACTGTTTCCCACATAACATGCCAGAGACTTATATGATGTAAATAAAATTAACTAACTTTGCCCAAATTAGATCCTAAGCATCTCAAGGGCCAGAAATGAGGCTTATACTCTTTTCTTCCTTGACAGCACCCAGCAGATAACAGTGTGTTATAAATATAAGCGATTTTCTAACTCATTATAAAGCAATAAAGAAGGATTTATGACTATGGTGGAACTCTGCTGCTGGATAATGAACTGCCATGGGAATTAAAGGGGCTGGGAAGATATCTCTAACCTTGAGGTTACAGATATATCCATGCCTCAGTGCCACTTTCAGAGTTGAAATGTGAGAGAAAACAGGACACATGACAGAGTCAGTATATCATGGTAAGCTGCAGTGACAAAGAAAGAAAACCAAAGGTTTTTAAATTTAGAGAAAAATGGTTACCCTTAACGTCTCCCTAAAAAGCATACTGAGGATAAAAATCAACTGAACAAAGTGTATATAAAAATATAGCAGGGAAAGACATATCTAATTGCTTTTGGGCATTTTTTTTTTTTTTTTTGGGACGGAGTTTCGCTCTTGTTACCTAGGCTGGAGTGCAATGGCGCGATCTCGGCTCACCGCAAACTCCGCCTCCTGGGTTCAGGCAATTCTCCTGCCTCAGCCTCCTGAGTAGCTGGGATTACAGGCACGCGCCACCATGCCCAGCTAATTTTTTGTATTTTTAGTAGAGACGGGGTTTCACCTTGTTGACCAGGATGGTCTCGATCTCTTGACCTCGTGATCCACCCGCCTCGGCCTCCCAAAGTGCTGGGATTACAGGCTTGAGCCACCGCGCCCGGCCCGCTTTTGGGCATTTTTATGCCCCCTCACACACAAATAACATACAAGTTCCCCAGTAATACACACATATGTCCCACTATTCCTAATCCTGAATTATATCTAAAATTCGCAACTGTGAGTTCTGACTTCATTAACCAGGCTTAATATGCAACCTGTTGGCTAAATATTGGCATTTCTTTATCTATAGAGGGCCCAGAAGGTAACAGCAGGTCACGATTTTTAAATGGACATGGCCTTAACTCACGTTGTGGAACTTTAATGATAGCTGGCCGCTTCAATCTAATGGCTACATCCCAAGACCACTAACTTTACTGAGAGAGGAAAGCCATGAGGAGGGGCTGTCACCAGAACTCTGCCAAGGGTGGGCTGAAGAACTCTGATAGGAGGACCACACCGTGGGTTAAGTGGAGACAGAGCCAGAGGAAGATACGGGGTAGCTCGTTACCACGTCCAACGTTTTTCAGTCCAACGTTTTTCAATCCTCGTTCTGGAGTGGTCAAAACCAGGGGTTTAATGTAGAGCACAGAGGACGTTAGGTTTTAGCTGCCTAGGATCTTAGTTCTCCATTGGCAAAATGAAAACAGCACTTATGATACCAGCTGCCTAGCCGCTGTCTAAAAACCCTTCCCCTTTACTGGCACAGCAATTTGTATTTTCTTTTCTTTCTTTCTTTTCTTAGACAGAGTCTCACTGTGTCGCCCAGGCTGGAGTGCAGTTGCACGAGCTTGGCTTATTGCAATCTCTGCCTCAGCCTCCCAAGTAGCGGGGACTACAGGGGTCCGCCACCACGCCTGGCTAATTTTTGTATTTTTTAGTAGAGACGGGGGTTTCACTACGCGGCCAGGGTGGTCTTGAACTCCTGACGTAGTGATCCGCCAGCCTCGGCCTCCCAAAGTGCTGGTATTACAAACCTGAGCCAACGCTTCTGGCCTGCTTTTCCTCACCTCGTAGTTGGGACGCGCATGCGAGCTGAACCCACTTTGAAAATACAAACTGCCATATAAAACCCTTCTCCCTTTATTTGTACGGTAATTTGTATTTTACAGTGCGTTCACCTCGCATGCGCCTCCCAACCACGAAGCGAGGAAAGGCAGGCCAGAAGCCCACCTCCAAACTCCCATTTCCTAGAAAATAAAACTGAGGCTCGGACCAGTTAAGTGCACGAAAGCCGAAGGGATGGCCATGGGCGATGCTCTCTACGAAAATACGTCCGGGACTGACCAACGCTTCCTGCCCGGGTTCGGAATCTTACAGACCCGCAAAACTGCAAATGCGCTAGCAGTCTTAAAAACGTCCGCGTTGCCAGCTCTGAAAGGCAAACGCCAGCCGCAAAGCCGTTTAATCACAGGTAAACGGAGAGTCGCCGCAGCTCGACTGCCTCTTGCTTGGCGAACCCACGGCAAGCCGCGACCCGCAGGGTCAGGCTGAACCCGGCGGCCGACCCAACGCCGCTGCTGTCGCTACCTGTACGCCGTGCATGATGTACACCTTCTCCGCCTCACTCAGCGCCACGGACGCCATGCTGCCGAGCTGCCCCGCGAGCCAAACGTCATCTGCGCGCGTCGTCTCCGCTGGACCACTCCCCCATGCCCCACCCGCCGCGTCCACGCGTCATCAACCTGCGCGGCGGCCGCTCCTGCAGCCGCGGCCGCCGCCACCGCCGGGAGCTCGATGGGCTTCTCCTGCGCGCCGCCCGGTGTCTGGCCGAGTCCAGGGAACCGCGGCGCCTCGTTCCGAGGAGCCATCGCCGCAGCCGGAGGCCGGGTCCCGGGTTGGGGACTGCAGGGGAAGGCAGCGGCGGGAGCCCCACCGGGGGCCTGGGACTGGGGAACTGCCTCCGGCTTCACGGTCAGTTGGGAGGGGAAACTGGGGTTGGGGTGAAGAAGCTGGGGTGAGGAGAGCCACACGGGCCGGAGGACTTGCAGTGGGAGAGGTCTGCGGCGTACTTGCTCAGAGCTGGAGTTGACCTAGGAGCTCGTGTGTGTGAGTGTGTGTGTGTGTGAGTGTGTGAGTGACAGAGAGACCCCGACTAAGGAGGGGCGGATGTCGTGATTGGTCCGGGGGTGGCTGTTTCCCCGCTTTTCTCCCCTCTACTTCTCTAGTCCCTAGGAAGGCTGAAGAGGAGAGGCGATGCAGCCCTCTGTAGGTAGTTCTCGGTGGGAAGGGTCCGGGCTGGGAGTGGGGGACACTAGACCTAAGGCGTTCCCACCCCTCCACCCAGGAATATCTCTCGCTGACTCGCTCACTCTGACCGAACGCTGACCCAGTGCCTTGTTGGGACCTCTTGCTTTGGGCGCTTATCAGAGCATAGTCCCACAGACTAGGGGGAGGAGGCGCTTGGTAACCGGCGCTAGCTGGTGCGCAGTGCCCGGACGTCCCTGACGCTTCCTAGCGGGAACTGGAAACCCGGCTTGATGGAAGTGATCGCTGGGAGCAGTTGCCCGAAAAAAAGCCAACCCCATGCGATGGCCGAGTGGGAGTAAAGGCATTGGATGCCCGGAGAGGATATCTGCAAGGTGAAGCTGGGGTCACCAAAGGAACTCGTTTAGGCGCGGCGGAAAAAGTATGGTGCAAGTTTTAAAGGAGCCGTGTGGATAAATGGGTGAAAGTTAACCCGAATTAGTTGAAACGAGGGCAAGTTGAAGCGAGTCTCATGACTTTCCTGATGTTCCATTTATGAGGACCCTCCCTGTTCTCAAAAGTGAAAGTAACCCTAATTAGCTTGATCAGCCAAAAAAAAAAAAAAGAAAGGTTGGTATTTCTCAGATAATGACTTCAAATACAGTTTCAGATAACTATTCGGAGCCTACTATAGATAGGCTTTGTGCTACCTTTGGAACACAAGGCAAGTAAAACACACTATGCCCAGAGAAGTTCCCTGGGCAGAGGTTCAGGCTCCGGGGCCAACATAACCATAGATCATGGTGGTAGAGCTATCATGGTGGCATCAGTGGGCACAGTGGGATTGGGAGGTCGTCTGAGGTTACAGAGAGGAAGTGCTTGCTCACATTCTTAATGATTACATTGCTGAACTCCAAAATTGATTATCAGTTCTTAGTAGACTGGACATTAGATATTTCTTATGTCTCTGCATAGTTCTCTACCGGGGCACCTAAAAGGAAGACATCTTGCAGGATTGGACTTTGCCTTCCTGGGAAACTGGGAGAGGTGAAGCCGGAAGGGCTTCCACCCTAATGAGGGCACAGGTGCCCCACCTGTTGTGGCACACAGATGTGTTTGTGTGTGGTTGGACAGCTGGGTTCTGTGTGCGGAGGGAGCTCTATGTGATAAGATAACATGCGATTGCTGATGTTAGAAATGGTATTTTCTAGATATGCTAGAGATCTGCTCAGAAAGGAGAGACCCTGGAAGCGGGATTTTAGAAGCTAGGATATGTAAGAGGTCTGAGGATTTAAAAGGTGACAGCAAATGGACAGATCAGCAAAGAGGAAGAAAAGCTTGAGTTCAGAAACCATGGGGTCATCTTTACGTCAAGATCTTCCAGTGTCTTTTAAAATATACAACGTATATTTGAACTGTCCCCCTGACAATTGATAGAAATTCCATACTGGAGAAGGGTTGGCAGTATTTGCTAAATAATGTTACAGATGATATTAGGCTAAGTAGGTATGAGAGATGTAAACAGTAGAATGTTCCTTTTAAAATTGTCTACTAGAACAATGACAATCTTGGCGGGGCATGGTGGCTCACGCCTGTAATCCCAGCACTTTGGGAGGCCGAGGCAGGCAGATCATGAGGTCAGGAGATCAAGACCATGCTGGCTAACATGCTGAAACCCGTCTCTACTAAAAATACAAAAAATTAGCAGGGCATGGTGGCATGCACCTATAATCCCAGCTACTTGGGAGGCTGAGGCAGGAGAATTGCTTGAACCCCGGAGGCAGAGGTTGAGGTGAGCCAAGATTGCGCCATTGCTCTCCAGCCTGGGCAACAAGAGCGAAACTCCTTCTCAAAAAAAAAAAAAAGTGACAATCATCTTTACTAAGCATTCTGCTTACATGCTGCCAGAACATTTTTATCATTTTTGCTGTAATAGAGCATTGGACAGCTTTAAAATCTATAAATTTAGAGTTCTTTTTTAGTTTATTGAAGTAATTAAAGAACATATGATAACCAAAAAAAATTAAGAAGTCAAAGATGGCACAGTATTCTATTAAACCAGCTTGTTTTTCTATCACTATTGGATTCATTTATTGAATGAATAAATGAATTGGGGCATACTAATCTGTAAGGTTGTTTATTCTAAAACACTATACTCTAATTTTCACACTAATTTACCAAGCATTGTTCTAAGCACTTTATAAAGATAAAGCGATTCGGTCCTTGCAACAGCCCTGTGAAGCAAGTATTTTTATCCCTATTTTACAGATTGTGAAATGAGGCACAGAGAGGTTAAATGCCTTAACCAGGGTCACAGGTTATATCATTGGTAAATGGCAGAACCAGGACTTGAGACCAGGTAGTCTAGCTGTCCTGCCCACACTCCTAACCATCACCTTACACAGCCTTCCCCTCGGTTTTATTTCATTCACCACAGTATTTGGTCCCGATTTTGTTATGCATTGGTTGCTGCCCTATGAACTATAGTTCACCTTAATTCCAAAAGCAAGGAGTCTATTCAAGCATAGACTCATATCCCTTGAATCAGTTTTCTAAAGGAACATGGAATGTGGTGCTGATGGGAAGTTCCTGTGTCTGTTGTAGCCCAACCTTTTAAACAAGGCAAAAGGTTATGTATGAGCAGAATAGAACATTAACTCCAAGTAGCTAAGGAGAGAGCCCTCAATGGCAAAGAAGGCTGATAGATCTGATACTAGGGCTGAGTAGCATGCATGGAGACCCAGATTCCAGCCATATGCCATACTCAGAAGAAATGTCTAGTAACTCTTCAGACAGTTAGTGTTTGCATGCCTGTGAGTCCCTAGTGTTCTTATGAGCATAAGAGATAAGAAACCCAAAACACAACACCTGCCTAAAAGTAGTGTAGAATTTGTTATAGTAGGGGATCCCAGAACCTTGAACTAGTACATGAACAAGACAATAAAATAAAGTGCTCAATTGAGACATGTGGCAATTAGAGAGAGGCCAGCCTATAATAAGGTGCTAATTGTGCAGGACAGGTATCAAACACAAAAGATAAAGAGCTGTTGCTAGCCACAAGCTGGGAACAATAACATTATAGAGACAGATGTAAATCTGTCCCACCCAGCCTTGGTTAATTAAAGCAATAAAAGCCAGTTACAGAAGAGCTTCAGGGCAATGCTGAGTCTGTGGTGCTGACATTGCAGAGAGCTTTTTCTGGAGACAGAGTGTCACTCTGTTGCCCAGGCTGGAGTGCGGTGGCACGATCTCTGTTCACTGCAACCTCCACCTCCTGGGTTCAAGCAATTTTTGTGCCTCAGCCTCCCGAGTAGCTGGGATGACAGGTGTGTGCCACCACTCTGACTGATTTTTGTATTTTTGGTAGAGACTGGGTTTGGCCATGTTGGTCAAGCTGGTCTGGAACTCCTGGCCTCAAGAGATCCACCTGCCTCAGCCTCCCAAAGTGCTGGGATTACAGGCATGAGCCACTGTGCTCAGCCACAGAGAGCTCTTAAAAGCCCAGTAGGAAACCTTCTTTCTATTCCCAGTCTTGAGCAGACATGGCCACATTTTAGGCCTTTTCCTTTGCATTTTCACCATTACCCCAGCACCCTCAAAATGTACAATATACGCTACTGTTTTCCCTATAGATCTGTTTCCTTTAAACACTTTGCATTTCTCCTACCTGCAGCTTGTCTTAAAGAATACTAGATATTGGGAAGCTGAGGTGGGAGGATCCCTTGAGCCCCAGAGTTTGAGTCCAGCCTGAGCAACACAGACCCCATCTCTAAAAATAATAAAATAATAATAATAAAATAATGATAGAAATGAAGAATATCTGTAAAAAATACTGTCATAATCTGGCCAGCAGGTCTCCATCTGTCTTCTAGACATAACTTGGGATTACAGTGATAGAAAAATTGCTAGTGATACATGGGTAGAGCTTACTCTTAATTAGAGGAAGGGTTATACAGTCTTCTTGTGTGTTTCATTTTGAAAAGGTGACAGAGTGTTTCCTATGTCTCATCAGGGCATATTTGAGAAAAGGGGCTCACACATCCTGATTACCAAATATGGAAATATTTAAACACACACACACACACCCTGATAGTCATGGAAAGTAACAAAGTCTCAGGTAGAAATGGAGGGCTGATATCTCAATATTGACCTGCTAGGGGGAAAAAATGAGCCTGATGCCATGCTGCCTCTAGTTCCTTCCTGTTTTGCATTTTAAAAAATCATTTGCTTTCCTCCTTGGAAGCAGATTTCCAGAAACAAATGGTCAGGTCATTCATGGCTGTCAACTGTGAAGGTGAGAAGACTCCAGGTGCATGTCCCACTTAATTAAATCGTACATCCTAATACATTTGAAATGCATGGGAAATGTCATCATTTCATAGTCTCCAAACCATAGCCTTCCTAGTATGTACTGACTTGGTGATTGAACTCTTTGGCTTGAACTCTTGGCGAGACATGAACACATATTTCCTGTTTCCCATTCTGGGTGAGTGGAGATGGAATGCCTTTGGGTGAATCACTTTCTTACCTTAGCAGGATGAGCCTAGTGGGACGATACAGTTCTGACCACAGTCCTGTTGCAGTAAAGTATTCGGTATGTCAAGTGTATGTTTCTAAACCAAGAAATAGTAGCAGAGAATCTAGAAAGACAGATTGGTTAGGAAGATACCAATCGATGGTGGAAAGACTACCAGGTATCTTAGTGCAAAGATTTGGGCTTTGCTATT